GTGCTCCTCTTGTCTCTGCCGAGTGCATACAACAGCACATTCCTATTCTATGGGAGTTATGTGATGATAAGGCAGCACTTCGGACAGTGTTTCCTTTGAAACAGATCTTATTGAACTCAGTGGGACTTTCTTCTCTGTGTTAATGTTCACAGAATCAATGTATATATGTATTTGAGATTATAGTACCCTTGGCCTTACGTAGAGATGTAGAGGATCTTGTTAGAAATGTTAAAAAGCACAAAATTAAATGGGTTTTACTCTTCCTTCTGAAACCATAGCTCCATTCTTTAGCATGCCTTGTGCAGCCATGCACAAGAAGCGAACAATTTGAATAATCAGAATGATGCATGCACAGCAGGTTTCAGTGTTCTTTGTTCAGTGACTAAATTGTCCTCCCATTACATTAGATGGTTGAAAGGTCTTAATTAAAATAGCAGTATCTTCAATACTTTGGCTTTCATAATCCAAGCTAGAAATATTAGTCATGACTAGAGGGTTACTTCTTTTCTCTCTTTGCTGTGGCTGCTTTTCGTGTTGACTAGAAATTCAGCAGACGGTGCTTCCCCATCCCTACATATTTGTTTGTTTGTATTTATATCGCCTCATCCATTGAAGAATACAATACCAATTCCTGCCTCAAGCAATTTATATTTTGGAGAGAAGTAGAGAAAAGGGAAGTGGAGGAATGAAGAAGGCTTGGGGATGAACCAGGGAGGAACATAAAAGTGGAATCATCTTCATATGCATTCACTGAATTACAGTTTGAGTAACAGCAGTACATGGGAACAAGGCTGTGTGCCAAAGGCATCAAATTGTTACACATCTGTCAAAGTCACAAGAGTGTTGCTAGAGCAAAAGAAAGGGGAACCCTAATGCAACTGACTTTGCTGAAAGGAAGCCCTGTGTCATGCAGCAAAGCTGACTGCTTCCTTTTAGAATTCTTCATATAACCCATTTCCATGTAAATCCCATTGCTAAAAATAGTGGTGTTGTGGGAAGATTTTGGAATCCACCCACCTAATGAATGAATGGGACATTACTGGCAGGAGTCATTGAATTGAGATGGATAGTAGATGAAATCTGGGCAGCATCATATGCAGCCATAGTAATTACATTTGTCAATAAAGCCTTGTCAGATAGCAATGACCATTTTTATAAAATTAAACAGTAGTGACGGCATTTTTCCATGTCATGAGTATGAGTCTTGCTTCTTTCACAATCCTAAATGAACCAATTACTTCTGCTTTAAGGGCATTGCTTACCATGAAATCTGGAAATGTTGTACTTTATTCATGTTGGTCTTTATTGTTCATAGTATTACATGATGACTGTCATGATCTTAATGGCACAGTTCCCGACTTTTCCCACTCCCAACATCCTTCTAAGGGACTTTGGAACGTTATCTTATGTGAGGCTCTATGGTCAGAGATCCCTCATCCCTGGTCATAATTGAATGCCTATGAAAAGTAAAGAGTTGTAGTATTGGAAAGGACAGTAGAGATGATTGGATCCAACAGTGCATAACTCTATAACTGAAGCATTTGGGACAGAAGGCCATCCAAAATCTGAGAATCTACCTACTTTCTGAAGTAGTCTGTAACCGTGCAAACAGTACTTACCATCACCTATGTTCTTCCTAATGTTTAATTGGCATCTGTCTTTGAAGCATTGGTTCAGGCCCTTCCCTCCTAAACAGCAGAAAACAAGTTTGCGCTATCTTTCACCTGATAGCTCTTCAGATGTTTGAAGATATCACTCACTTCAAATCTTCATCTTATCTTCCCCTGCCCAACATGTTTATTCTTTCTCATGGGCCTTGGTTTCTAGATCCTTTATTGTCTTGCTACTTGTTGTAAGATTAACCACGGGGAACTTATCAACTGCCTTTCTGAAATCAGGATCTGTTTCACTCACAGCATTTCCCTGATTTGCCAGCTTGTAACTCTTTTTAAAAAGTTGAAAAAGGTGAGAAGTTTAGAGTGCATCTACACTAGTGTTTCTCAATCTTCCCAATGACATGACCCCTTAATATAGTTCCTCATGTTGTGGTGACCCCCAACCATCAAATTATTTTCGTTGCTACTTCATAACTATAATTTTGGTACTGTTATGAATTGTAATGTAAATATTTGATATGCAGGATGCATTTTCATTCACCGGACCAAATTTGACAAAATAGAATACCTGAAATAGCTCAAATTATGAATACTGGTGGGGTTGGGGAGAATTGATTTTGTTATAGCTGCACTCTGAACTTCACCAATGATGGAATTGAACCATACTTGGCACACAGAACTCCCATGACTAACAGAAAATACTGGAATCGTTTGATGAGCATTGACCTTAAGTTTTGGAGTTGTAATTCACCTACATCCAGAGGGCACTGTGGACTCAAACAATGATAGATCTGGACCAAACGTGGCATGAATACTCAATATGCTCAAATGTGAGCACTGGTGGAGTTTGGGGAAAAAAGACCTTGTCATTTTGGGAGTTGTAGTTGCTGGGATTTATAGTTCACCTACAATCAAAGAGCATTCTGAATCCCACCAATGATAGAATTGGGCCAAACTTCCCACACAGAACCCCCGAGCCCTTCCCATCTCACACGCTTCACCTCACCCACACATGCGTACCACGCTGCCATGTGCCAAGCACACCTGCTCTCCCCTCCCCACTTGGAGTCTCAGAAATACCCTTCTCCTTGACTGAGAGGCCAGCCAATCACAACAGGAGGGCTTTTGGTGGGAGGATTCGCTGTCTGTTTCCAAAAAGAAAGAGGAGGGCAGGCAGAGCAATCTTGGATCTTCGGCTTTCCCTGCCAAAAGGGTTCATTAGAAATGTATGTTTTCTGATGGTCTTTGGCAACCGCTCTGAAACCCCCTCACGACCCCTCAGGGGTCCCGACCCCCAGGTTGAGAAATGCTGATTTACACTATAAAGTTAATGCAGTTTGACGCCACTTTAACTGCTATGGCTCAATTCTATGGAAACCTGGGATTTACAGTTTAGTGAGACACCAGCACTCTTTGGCAATGAAGACTAAAGATATTGTAAAACCACAACACCCAGTATTGAGCCCCTCCAATTAAAGTGGTACCAAACTGCACACATTCTAAAATGATTTGGTCTTGAAAGACTCATGCTGGCTTTTTCTAATACAATAGTACAAGTTTTGCAGCCTTATTATGACAAAGAGGTTTATTTTAGCATGTACCTTTGTGGATTTGTTTTAGGTCTTAAGGGTGCCCCAAAAATCTTTGTTCTAGGTAATACTTCCATTTGAAACCTGGGTGATAGTTATACTGAACCTGGATATCTAGTATTATTGTCTTTGCATGTATTGGGCCGAGATGAAATAATTCCTAACTGGCACTCACGTGGCCTAGTTAAATATTTCAGGGAACACAAGACTATGCCAACTTCTTTCTCTATTATTTCTATTTTAGGGATGGGTAACCCTAGCTAGAAAGAGAATGCAAGATACAGCTGTGAGTGAAAGGCTTGGGCTCAAGAAGAAATAGGAGCAATGATGTATCAACAGAGAAGCCTTTAGCTAAACAATAGTGCAATGTGGTGCCTTCTCTTGTGCGGAGCACCAGCGTTAATTGGTTTCTTTAGAGTTCTTTTAGTGACAATTATCGTCTTCTCAGCTGTATATAAAAGATGATCCCAGTCCTCTCTCCTTTCACTGCAGCAGCATAAATGTGGGAATTATTGACCGTGGGGAAGCAAGTGGGAGAAAGGCACAGATGTACATTTATTTATTTAAGTCATTTATACATTGCTTCATCAAAACCAAGGACCTCTGGTCATTTTCCAACTTAAAGAATAAAATACAGAATTAAAGCACAGCGGTCAACAATTGAATGGAGCGGAGGACAGTATGGGTATAAGCAAAGAATAAGATCAGCAAAATAGTTTCTTAGGCTAGACTAAGTTTAAATAACATGCCATCTTTTTATAATGGTTTTAGCCATTGCTCTTAGTTGCTTTTATTTAACATCAAATTTATATTATTATATTCGTACAGGTTATTTAATTTCTTACTGTCGGTTATTTTGTCTGATGTTGTTTAATATGATTTTTCCTGATGTAATTTGTCTGAATGTCTTTCCCTTTTTGCCACTGAAAGTTTGCCATGCATTTGGGGAGATAGGGCTGTCAATAAATAAATTATTATTATTATTATTATTATTATTATTATTTTAGATAAACATTTCAAGACAGCTTAAACAAGAAAATGGGGGTGATTTTTACAATTAATTGTGTCATTACACGGATGCCAGATAAGCCTCCCTAGAAAGAATATCCCACTCTCAGAGTCCCACTGTGGAAAAGGCTCTTACTAGAAGCTATTCAACTCATAATGTATGCTATGAACTTTGTAAAATCTAAAATCCAATGTAAAATCTAAAAAATCATGGTGTAATTAAAGGTTGGTCTTGTGCATAATTCTGAAACCCAGCTAGGAAGAGGAACTGACCAAACTGGAAAACAAATTAAATTCGGTCCACTAGATTGTGTGTTTTGTGTGTGTAAGTGCATTTAGGTAGCCTATCAATGGCAGACCAATTAATTTCAAATGATTTTTAGGGCAAGAAATACTCAGTTGGTTTGACATGGCTTCTGGAATTTAGTCTACTGCGCCTGGTATTCATTGGTGGTCTCCCATCCAAATAATAACCTAGCCTGACCCTGCTTAGGTTTCAAGACCAGACAGGATCTAGTGCATTTTTAGATTTGTGTCAACCAAATCACAAATTACAGAAAATTGATTGTCAAATTTATGAGCAAAAAGTCCCACATACCTCAAGAGAGTTCTTAAAATTTATAAATAGAAACAGTGTTGTTATATTTACCTATTACTTCTTTCATTGTGATGTACTGAAAGAGGGTTGACCAGTTGACATCATGTGCATTTGTGGTACTGTATATTATGTACATATGTGTGTTTCAGACACAAGATGTTGATTCCTGTTACTCTTGTCTCTCACCTCCCTTTAGATTACATCCATGAGTTCAAGTAAAAGAGTGGATTTGAAGATCATTATCATTGGAGCTTTAGGGTAAGCAGCACTCTTTGTTTTTGACAGTGTGAAAAATTCCTCAGGAGAGACTTACTTCCTCTCTCAATTACAATTCTTTTCTTCTCTGGTTGATCTTTGTATGGCACAGCGCTGATTATATCTCTGTTGCTGTATGGCTTCAATTCATTTACAGATTATCACCAGCACCTCCAAGGCAAACCTATTACGGGTTTTCTTGGCAGCATTTGCTCAGAAGAGGTTTGCCATTGCCTTCTTCTGAACCTGAGAAAAGGTGACTTGAAAAATGTCACCTGATGGGTTTCCATGGCCAAGTGAGGAGTCAAACCCTGGTATCTAGTCATCATCCAACATTCAAAACATTACACCACAATTGTTCTGATTACATTTGTATTCTCTAAAGCACTGGTTCTCAACCTTTGGCCTTCCAGATGTTTTGGGCCTCAACTACCAGAAGCCCCAATTAGTATGGCCAATAGTTAGGAATTCTGGGAACTAAAGTTTAAAGTATCTGAAAGAATCTGGAAGTCCAAAGGCTGGGAACTGCTGCTCTAAAGGAACTCAGGGAAATGGAAATTTCTCTATTCATTTTCCCCATATAACATCCCTTTGGGGTAGATTAGGCTAAGAGCAAGAGAAAGAATGGCTACATAGTCCCAGGGCCTCATCACACTAGAGAAAAAATCCACTTAAAGTCCGGTTTCTGCCTCTTGCAGAATTCTGGGGTTTGTAGTTTAGGGAGGAGCCTTTAACAGCCTCACTAAACTACAAACCCCAGAATTCTGCAGGAGGCAAAAACTGGATTTTAAGTGGATTTTTCTCTCTAGTGTGATGAAAACACCACTCTCACATCTCAATGTCCCAGTTGCATGTTGCATTACCTCTTGGAATTGTCTGTGGGGTGAAGATCCCTATTTGTAAAACCTTTTAATGAAGAAGCTGAAATTTATTATTGACTTCAAGTCATTTTGGACACATGGCAACCTTAAAGTGAACTTCTCAAGAGGTTTTCTTGGCAAGATTTGTTCAGAGGGAATTTGCCATTGCTTTCCTTTAAAAGCTTGGGAGGGTATGATATATATTCTCAAATAACATATTGTGACAAAATCATATTTTAGTCTTGAGAGTTGGACATTCTTAGATGCAGCTGTAAATTTCTTATCCTCAAAACCTAAATAAAAGTCGTGACAATAAGAGCAGAGAATCAATAAAACTAATGGGAAATAGTAAGACAATGTATTCATTCCAAAGCCTAGTGTGGTTTTTGTTGTTGTTCATTCGTTCAGTCGTCTCCGACTCTTCGTGACCTCATGGACCAGCCTACGCCAGAGCTCCCTGTCGGCCGTTACCACACCCCAGCTCCCTCAAGGTCAGTCCAGTCACTTCAAGGATGCCATCCATCCATCTTGCCCTTGGTCGGCCCCTCTTCCTTTTGCCTTCCACTTTCCCAGCATAATTGACTTCTCTAGGCTTTCCTGTCTCCTCATGATGTGGCCAAAGTACTTCAACTTTGTTACAGTACCCTAAGTCATGGGAATTTTTCCTGACTTGTCAACCAAAGTACCCAGAAGCCTTATTAAAAAGACCGCATTGCTGCACCCAGTATTGTTCTCAATAACTTACTATTTTTCCATTATTACTTTTTATATACTCCAATGCTCCCATATATCAACACCAAACAAAATGGGAGACAATAGCTTAACTCCCAGCGTGGTTAGTTTGCCCTATTCTCAAACGCTGGGAGTTAAGCTATTGTCTCCCATTTTGTTTGGTGTTGATATATGGGAGCATTGGAGTATATAAAAAGTAATAATGGAAAAATAGTAAGTTATTGAGAACAATACTGGGTGCAGCAATGCGGTCTTTTTAATAAGGCTTCTGGGTACTTTGGTTGACAAGTCAGGAAAAATTCCCATGACTTAGGGTACTGTATAAGTCCTCTGTGAAAACATCCATTAGAATCCACTCTCACATGATTAGTAGTTGCTAGCCTGGCAGGAAATTGAATTTCTGCCTCCTGACTTTAGTAGAAATGACACATTACTAGCTAGTGATTTTTTTCCAGATAATGTTTACAGATGTTTTAAAGGGAAATTGACATATTTATTCTCCCCTTTTTCGCTGCCTGATGATTCGGCAACAGATTGATTGACTGATCTATAATGATCCATGACATATGACATACATCTGACAATAGCCCACAGTCAAGATCTGCATTCAAAAGATTTGATACAGACTATGGATTTCATTGTGCCATATCTAGTTGTAATTATCTACAGGCAAAACAGCCCAGTGGTTGCTCTTTCTTATGAAGACCTGCTAAATTCAGGGAACTGTTCAATGTTGGCACATGCGCAGTATCCATAGGAAATTTAATACTGCAGGAAATGGATAACAAGAAGCTATGGGAATACATTTCACACAGTGGAAAAGATTAAAGTTGCACAAACCTTTCAAAAGGTCAGTTTTCTTGTATTTGCCCTTGTAAGCTGAAGCACAATGTCAGCGAGACCTAAAGACCAGCTAATGGCATTTCCAACCAAAGAGCAACATTTGTTTCTTGACAGTCATGGTTGATTGAAGGTGTTTTAATGAACCTGGGCTTTGAAAGGTTGCACTTATCATTGTTACATAGGAAGCCTCCTCAAGCCCAAGGTGGTTGCCTGCTTCATGTACCTCTAGCCTGCTTCTTCCATCTACAAAGCGGGACCATGTTATCAGAAGCAACTGTGACATTATCATATAAGGCAGAATCATCAGGCTGTCATAAGGTTTAGATCAAGACTAGCCCATTTTCAAGGACTGTATTTTTCATTCTGGGATCTTTTGTAGAGCTACATCATCATCATCATCATCATTGTATTTACTTTTATCCTGCTTTACTCCCATGAATGGGAATCAAAGCAGTGAACAAAATAGAAAAAACAAACTACATAATACAGAAAACCATCATCTCAGCAAGCCAACATATAAACAATAAATCAGTATATTGCATAAAACACAGATTATATAATATAAATTGCATAAAAACAATCACATATTTCATTATCATAAAATCCCTATACCTCAGGCCACTGAGGTTGTCCTAAAATGTTGAAACATTAAACTAAATGTCTCAGAGCTCCAAGTCTTAGGCCATGTGAGCCTTGACTGACCGAGATAAGCTTTCTGTGTTGTTGGGGAAGGCCTGCTTCGATAGAAAGGTTTTCACCTGGGAGTGAAAGACCAATAATGAAATAGCTGAACACACCTCCTTGTAGAGGGAGTTCCAAAGTCATGGGGCCACCACTGAAAAGGCCCTCGCTCTTGTTCCCACCAACTATACTTGTGACGGTGGTGGAACTGAGAGGAGGGCCTCTCCTGGTGATCTCAGGACTCATGAGGGCTGATAGGAGGAGATGCGGTCCCTCAAGTAGGCTGCCATGCCCCATACTTGGATTTTTAAAAACTTGTTTAGAAACTAACTCAAAATGCCTCCCTACTCCATTTGGGCCACACAAGGGCAATTTCACCATGGTTTTGAAAATTTTAGTTTTAGAAAAACCTCTCCTGGGCCAATAACTTTGCAGATTGTCCTTCCCTGCCCCCAAGAGAACGTGCAGGGAGTTTAAGAGAATTAAAACAGAATGCAATCAGGACAAAAGCTTTGATCTGTCTGCACAACAAACCTAATATAATAATAATAATAATAATAATAATAATAATAATAATAATAATAACAACAACAACAACAATAACAATAATAACAACAACTTTATTTATATCCTGCCTCCTTGGGGCAGCTCACAACACAAAAACAATACACATCATATCAAACAAAAGGTTGTAGATCAAAAACAAAACACAATAAATTAAGGATAAAACAATGAAAGTAGCTCATGGCCATTAGGCCCATCAGTATAAATATCAAACAGTTTAAAAACATATAGCAGTTATAGATCTTGAGAAAGCTGGGTTAGTCAATGATACCTATAAAAACTAAGCGAACAGTACTAATATTTGAAAAAAACTGTTTTATTATATTCAGTGGTTAAGCCTTTGGTTTGGAAACATGATACACTGAAGATGCATGATTTCATTGGTGCATGTGGCCTCTCCACTATTTCACACGTAAGGTGCAGAGTTTTGTTGTATCTTAGAGATACATCTCCTTTAGATTCCAGTCCATTTCTTCTGTCTTCTAAAGTTTATGTCAAATAAAAGTAGTACCATATTAAGGAATCACAAGACTTTGTTTATATTCCAACGAACTAACAGAGCTACTGCCTGCCTCCATGAAAATTGGGTTCTTGATTCTTGTGGCTGAACAATTTCTGGTGTTGAGTTTTTTCATACATACTTTTCCATACAAAGGTGATTCTTGGATTGCAGATAAGCAGTTTGCCTCTGGAGCCATATGCTTTTGAGACTTTGCCAGCATGGCAGAGGCTGCCAGAGCCGATGATCCACTGGCATATCTTTTGAAAGTTGAATGCCACTGCCATGCCACAATAGCAGGCAATTAATCACAACTTCATTTATTCTGGTGACACAGAATAGAAATGGTTACATAATGTTATATTATTTTAAACTTTAAATTTTAATATAGTAGCTTGTTTAATTGTTTTTAACATTTATTACTATTATTTAATTCATGTACCTTTGTTTAATTCATGTTGCAAGCTGCCTGGGAACACCCACAGTTGAAAAGTATAAACCACTATAATAATAAATAAATAAATAAATAAATATTTATTTATTTATTTTTATACCCCCACCACCATCTCTCCTAGGGGACTCGGGGTGGCTTTGAAAGAGACAAGCCCAAAAATTACAGATAAAAACAGAGACACAATTAAAATCAATCAAATAAAAATAATAAAACAAACCCAGTCATAAATAACATCATAAAAAATATGGCTGAGATAGAGATCATAGCTGTGTTCAGGCTCAATGAGTGCAATAATTCCTAAAAGGAGCCCATGGAAAGTGTGGAAATCAAATGAACAGGGGCTAGGGAATACCATTGGCAAAAGTGCCGAGGTAGCCAATAAAAGTGCCAAAGTAAAGCACAGAACTTAAAGTAGGGACAGTATAGTTTTCTGGTGAACTGCCTAATCAAAGACACAGCGGAACATCCAGGTTTTAATTCCCTCCAAAAGGAAGACAACGTGGGAGCCTGTCTGGTCTCCCTAGGGAGGGAGTTCTAAAGCTGGGAGGCCACCACCAAAAGGCCCTCTCCCTTGTCCCCACCCACCGCGTTTGAGACGGTGGCTGAAGAGAGAGCAGAGCCTCCCCAGATGATCTCAGGATACGCACTGGTTCATAGGGGAAGATGCAATTGCGAAGAGGTGTTTAAACAGGGGGGTTGACTGTTCCCTGTAACTGGCTCCCTTAAGCAGCCTGGCTGCAGATGTTTGGACCAACTGTAGTTTCTGGGCAGTCTTCAAACGCAGCCCCATGTAGAGTGTTATCATCACTAGGCCTGCAGTAACACTTCTTTTTCTATGTTTCTGCTTTCTCTCTAGTGTAGGGAAAACCTCTCTCCTCCACCAGTATGTTCACAAGAAATTTTATGAAGACTACCGAACTACCCTTGGAGCCAGTATCCTGACAAAAATGGTGGCTGTGGACCATACGCCACTAAAATTGCAGGTGAGAGAAAGCATAAAATAATGCTTCTTATCTCCGGTTGTATTTTCAGGCAGATGTTTACAGCTGAGTCCCATACACTGTTATGAAATGAAAGTGATTGTTAACATTGCTCTCTTGACAGCAAATTTCCCAGATGCTTAAGTCTGTGGTATTAACATCTAACCTTTCACTAAGCATTTCTTGCTTTGTTAGTGAGTGTAGTCTTCTATGCCCCTTGCTTCTCATACTGGGGAGATTACAAAAGGTTTATCATTAGCTTGAATTTGGTTCACTTTTGAAAGGAGATCAATGTTGCCTTACTGACTTTTTCAATAATACATGATGTATTTACAAATACGTATGTTGAGCATTGTGTGTGAGAGAGTTAAAATACACTGAGCAATTGTTGTCAGACCTCCAAGGAGACAGCCTGTATCTGCAGGGCACTGTTAATTTTTTCAGAGCTCCAAGTTCAGTGCTCTCTGCCCCTGCCTCAAAGAAGGCACTGTCCTTTTGTTTCCTCCTTACTATAAGCACAAAAGCACACATTGCTTTATGCCCCCCTACTCTTTAACCACTATAGGCAGGATATGGATTGGATTCTCTTTATAAAATATTGTGAGACTTGTTAGATCATTGTTTTTAAATTATAAATTGCAAGCAGGGGATGGCTGAACCCCACTGAGCCCAAAGAATGGAGGGAAGGTGCAGGTGTCTTACCTTCCAGGCTAGGGTCTGTCTGGGAAACATACACTCTCCCTTTCTTTTTTGCACAACTCCCATATCTCACTGTGTGTATGTGCCTTCAAGTCACCTGTTGACTTATGGTGACCCCCATGAATTTTATAAGAATTTTCTTTGCATGACATCTAAAGAACCTTGCTTTGGAAAAATACAAAAGTCCTCGTGGAGAGAGGCAAGAGGAAAGCTACCTGGCAGAATATAATTATCATTCTGTTTTTGTAACAAGACACCACGTGTATGGAACCACCTCTTATAGCAGGTACCTCACAGCTCTTCTCAATTTGCTCTCTGTAAGCTGAAAACTTACACTCACAGCATCATTATTCCTTTTTTGTCCTTTTGAGTCAGAAAAGAACAAAGAAAATCATTGGAACACCAGTTTTTTCTTGGACTTTCCGGCATTGGTTGCTTTCCCTCTCAACTAAAGACAAAAATACTTACTTCTTAGGCAGTCCTCGTAGGTTGAGGATGATTGTCTTCAAATGTGGTGTCTTGGCGGTGGGTCCGTAGGTGACTGTGCAGACCTATTCTTGATCCGCATGTTCTCCTGCAGTGAGGACATTGGTTTCCAGATGGAAAGTCAGAGTTGGCTTGACGTTCCTTCCTCTTGGCACATTTCTCCCTTTTTGAATTCTGCAGCACTGCTGGTCACAGCTGACCTCCAGTTAGAGCGCTCAAGGGCCAGGGCTTCCCAGTTCTCGGTGTCTATGCCACAGTTTTTGAGGTTGACTTTAAGCCCATCTTTAAATCTCATCTTTAAAAGACAAAAGTATGGCAACAGTGATTCTTGTTGTTTTTTTTTAACGAGTAGTCTGAAACCCCCAGTTAAGGAAACCTGTAGTGGAGCTGGGTGATTTCTTGCCAGTGATCGGAGAGATAATGACTGAAATCCTATCATTAGTCCTGAATAGACTAAATACATTGAATCAATGGAACTGATCTATGTGTTGACTCAGCATTCAATATTCCAGTCAACTAACAAACAGGGTTGCTGATCAATATTTGTATCAAAGCAGAGGAACTGTTTTGTTTCACAACAGCACATCTGAAGTGGTATTGAAATTACTAATAATAACGATTATTTGCTCACCTTCTTTTAGATTTGGGACACTGGAGGACAGGAACGATTCAGGTCCATGGTATCCACATTCTACAAAGGTTCGGATGGATGCATGCTGGCCTTTGATGTGACAGATATAGATTCCTTTGAATGTTTGGATGACTGGAGAGAAGACTTTCTGCAGAAAGTGATCCCTACAGAGCAAGGCTTCCCAATGGTCGTATTGGGGAATAAAATTGATTTGCAGGACCGACAGGTAAGAGAAGAGAATGGGAGGAACCAATTTTTCTTGAAGTGGAAATATTGCAAATCATGCTGGGATCATTCCTGAATCTAGATAGCTATGTCAGAAGTATTTCCAGCCCTCTTTTAGGCTGTTGATCCAGCTTTCCTCATTGCTTCAGATTTTCTGACATTTCACAGAGTTTCAGGTATCTCAGTAGTGGTCCTGGTGTTTTTGAGGTGTGGTATGATCCAGTGTCTGTACGTCAAACAGAGACCCACCATCATAGCATCACTGGCAAGACTGGCAAAGCCTTTCAGGTCACATTGCTTTTGCTGGTGACCTTGTTGTGGCCTCATTAGAAGCACCAGCAAGGCTATTTCAGGAAGGAAAGGGAAGGAAAAGAAAAAGATGGGAGGTGGGGGAAGAAAGAGAAAGGAAAGGAGAAAAGGTATGAGGGAAGGGAAAGTGAAAGAAGGAATGAAAGCAGCAGGGCAGCAGCCCTGCCAACACCCATGCAACACTGAATAGATATTCTCCATAAATAAAAAAGTTATCCATCAAATGGCATTGTCTCCTTATAGCTACCCATCCTTCCATTCATTAATGGGAGCAGATAGGAATATCCCAATTCTACTAATTATTGAAAGGAAAGGTCCTCCTAATAAAGAAAGGTTTAAAGACATTTCTTTCATCTTGCAGGTGTCCAAAGAGACAGCTTCTTTGTGGTGCAAAGAAAAAGACATTGCATACTTTGAAGTTAGTGCCAAGAATGACATCAATGTAGTGAATGCCTTTGACACATTGGCAAGACAAGCTCTATCAAGGGTAAGTGGCAGCATCACCCATAAAAAAATGTTACTGTCAAATACTATCTGTAATTCACAAAGCCAAATATAGTAATTGTTAATTTCCATTGTTTTTGTTACAAGAGATTAACATAGGTGCTTTGCTAGATAGTGGTAAAAATAAAGTGTGATGGGTTAAGAAAGAATCATGACAAGAATCATGAGAGCAGAAGTAGATTCAGGTCTCCTCATGCTTACAATCAAGGTGTTGTTGTTGTTGTTGTTGTTTCTTATTGTGGACCCTCAAGTTAATTCTGACTTAAGAGAAACCATCAAGAGTATTGAGGGAGGAGGGCAACATTTATTGTGAGGAGCTTTGCCATTGCCTTCCTCTGAGGCTGAGGCAGTGTGACTAGCCCAAGGAAATCTAGTGGGTTTCCATGGATGACTAGTGATTCAAATTGTAGCCTCTCAGTCTTAGGTCCCCATCTATACTGAACACTTAATGCAGTTCAAGACTAACTTCAGACTGTAGGAGCCAGACAACAAACTTCCTCAAAAGCACTCAAAAGAAAGCCTTTAATGCGTATCAGAGCTCTGTGGTTTGTGTAATCACCATCCAGGCCTCAAACTGGTTTCAGAATGTCCTATGTAATCATCTGCAGTGAGAACATTTTCTTCAATACCACTTTGAAGCTGCATTAAATGGTCAGTGTAGATGATCCCTTAGTCCAACACTAAAACAACTATCTCCTACTTGCTCTTTCAGACCTTTCTTTGCAGGAATCCCACCCTTTACTCTTTAATAGAATTTCCCTAGAAAAATAGTGTAAGTTGTAGTGAAGAAAATGAGGAATACAAATGGCGAGTAATGTCATAGGAAACCTCTGTAAAATGCAGTCATCAAGGTAGAAATTATAGTATCTGAAACTCATCTAAAACTATCATAAATGGTTGATCACTTCCTTAGTATTTCTTACACAGGGCCCTCTTCTCCACTCTTTGCTGTGCAGCAAAACAGCACTGATAAAACATTTCTGATACCTACTTTAAATTTTACTTTTGGGTTGCTGTGAGTTTTCCAGGCTGTATGGCCATGTTCAAGAAGCATTCTCTCCTGACGTTTCGCCCATGTCTATGGCAGGCATCCCCAGAGATTCCGAGGTCATTTTACTTTTGTTTGCAACAAAGATTGTATTAACTGTTGCTATATTTCAATCTTCTAAGATGCAAGCCCTAGAAATAAGAGGTGATTGTGTGACAGTACGGTGAAAAAACATATATACTCTGTTCAAAATCAAGATTTACGTGGCAATGACTACAAGCTCATGAGCTGGATTGTGTGTTTCTTGGTAAATAAAGCTGAAGAGTTTGCTTAATTATCCTGAACTTTTACTATCTAATATAATAAGAAAGAACCAATGCATCCTCCAATAAAACTACAGCTCATTAAAACTGAAGACAGCAGCAATTTGCTTAGGGGGAAAAAATCTAGCCAACAGCTATCGTCTGCTGTAGCATCTCAAAACTCTTTTTGCTTTCCTTCTTCTGTTATCCTCCTACAAAGATCTCTACATTCTCATGCTTAAACATACTTCTCCCCAAAATAACCCTGAAGTGCAGCTCTTCTGAGAGGTCCCCGTGGGTGGGAGTGAAAGAAACAACACAACCAGCTTTGAAACTGTAGCTTCCGTATGGAATAGGGCAAGCAAATGATGGTTTTATACATTGAGAAAAAGTAATTTATATATTTCAAGGAATGTTTTAAAGAGCAAGAGAGAATAGCTAGATTTCTACATTGAGAGTAAATGGTGCCCTCTTGTGATCAGTAAAATAATAGCAAAGGTGGAGTATAATAAGAGTAAGCTTGATTCTGCAGTTTAGCAGCAGTCTCGTTTTATCTGGGTATTTCCCTTGATGTCCAATGCAAATATATTTGGGCCTGTGTTGTTTCTTCAGAGTGCAAAACTCTATACAGAAATTGTGGTAAACAGAATGAAAGCGGGATAATGGAAAAAATAGAACTTTTAAAAAATATAATTCTATACACATTCTTGAAATGTGACAGGATGCAAAAACAGAAATCCTTGTTGTTTAAAAACTCTGCTGAAATTAGTACTTTGAGACTACTTTAAGAAAAAGCAGGGCATAAATTAACATAATAATGCTATGTACCATGATTTTTTTTCTCCCTGGGTTATAAATGTCATTTCCTAATTGGTTCTATGATAAAAACATTAAAAAGGTTAATTAAGCTGCAGAAACGTTTTTGTGGGACATCCTTCAGCACATTTTGCTACAGTTTTTCAATGAATGCCTCATCCAGTCTCAACCAATTCAACATAGTTTGTGGCAGCCACAAAAACAAAGTTTCTGAAGCATAACTATTTTCAAAGTAAGAACCACACAATTAAACTGGAAATAACATTTTCAAACCAGGAACAGGATTTCTTCAATTTTTTTTACATAGTATAATCAACCTACAAATGATGATAGCCTTGAATTTTTTTGATAAACCAGTATCTGAAGTAATAGGACTTTGCATTGTTAGGCATTGTTAATCATAGAGTTAATAGCTGCCTTGGATCGCATCCCAGGAGAAAGGCAGCAAATGCATTCAGTAAACAAACAAACAAACAAACAAACAAAGCTTTTCCCTTTTATCTCTGAGAGATTTATGTTTATCGTCTTATGTTTAATCTTGAAGCACAGTGAATGAGATAAGCCATTTCTAGCCATAGGGTGTCACTGTCTACTCAGGCTATTGTATAGAGTAAGGCAACTGAAAGAGTTTCATTCCACGATGTAGTTCCCATCTCTGACCAGTGCAAGCCTTCTTGTGCAGTACAGCAAAACAAATTGCTTTTAGAAAGGCAAAGACCTTAATATCATAGCAAGTAGTTTTTAATTTTGGGGTAATAGTGGACAACAGTGTTGAGGCTCTCTTTCAGTGAAAGAATAGTCTTGGCTGGCATCATCACCAATTCTTTGCTAAAGGATGGGTGAAAAGTGCCAGGTTACTGTTTAGTAAGGCATTTGCACCCTTACTATTTCATATACCATCATATCTGTGATGATTCCCTGCAGCTCGAAGTCTTGAACTTTTACCTAAAATCCTAAAATCTGGCACTCAGGTCCTGGTGTGACCACTGTACTGGCCAAGTGGTCACATCAGGATCCAAGTACCAGATCCCAGGAATGTAATTAAGCATGGACTGCCCTCTTTGTTAATTACTCAAATGAAACATCTAGAGAGGAATACAAAATAAAAGATTAAATCTTTATAAATAAAATAAACATCTAGCTTTATATTAGTTCTATAGACAGTACACCATTAATACTGTTTTCAGTGAAGTAATGCTTCTCTCTAAACTCTTTAAATACCCCCAAAACCCTATTCAGATTTTCCTCATTCTTCCATTCCTAACTGACACTTTCTAACATATCTTCCCAAGATTTATTTCATTCCTATCTGTTTCTCACTGTTTCTAACTGGCCCTATCTAGCTCTTTTTAAAGAGGAGCCTTTTGTGTGATGCACTACATGCAGATGACATGTATATTGAATGGCTCTTACAAAGGTGAAGAATATGTGGCCTTCCAGATGTTGATCCACTCCCACATGTTTTCCTGGACTGCATCTTAGATAGAATCATAGAGTTGGATGAGACCATAAGGACCATCTTGCTCTGCTTGTCAGTTTTTCTGAGGCAACTGTCTATGCGCTTGATGAACTTCTAGCTTAATCAGGCGAGATAGTTTATGTGTTTGCCTTACTGGGAAATTCTGGGATTTCAGATCCACATTTATGCTGTTTTTATATTTTTCCTTTCAGTACAAAGGGATCATTGAGAACTATCTAACGGATTCTATAAAACTCACCCCCAATGATGAGCCCAAGAAAAAATGCTGCTGAGATGCCATTTGGAGAGATGAGACATTTCCATTCAATCCAAAGGTTGCTGCAAGGGACAGAGAACAGGCACAACTGCAAACAACTCCCTTCTTGAGCCTTGTCCATCACGGATGGCGGAATAACTGGACGAATCTCATCCCATGAGCCAGAAAAAAAATGAAAAAGACTACAGATAATTACTGGACATGCAAATCACCCTGAAGTCTCCAGATAATGCTAAAACAGCTGAATCGCTTGGTGGACCTGCCCATTACTGTTTCGTTCAAGCATTTATGAGTTGCCATTTCAAAATTCAAACTCATTCATCAAAATACCTCTATGACATTACTTGATTAATTGGCTTGGTCTGATTTTGCTTCTGTCTTCTACACTTAGTTACATAATGCAGATTATGCCACAGCAGAGAATTCTGAATAGCTTCTGGCACTTGACTGGAATATAAAGTATATTCTTGAAAAGTAGCCCAACTTGAGGTGGCATAAAGGGAAGGCACAGTCCTCAAGTTTCTTCCCTTGCAAACATAATCCTTAGCTGCATTTCGTGATTTTGGTCCAGAGATTCAACAAGTTAATGTTTGTTCTCTAAATGTACCATGGCTGAAGTAATGACACAAGCAGCTTGAAATGTCTGGTATCAGATCAGACTGTTTTAAGTGTCAGAAAGGCGGATTGCCAAATTCCCAGAATGCAACCCAAGCAATTTGTGTTTGGGTTTGCATTCTTCAGTTTATATTTTTAGAAAGTAAGGGCAGATTTGCAAATTCACTTAGCACATCAAAGTCTGGAGATTTTCCTAGGGAGTTCAACTGTGTTCCATCTGGCATGTTTCGGTTAGGGGGATTTATCATGCATGCACAGAAGCAGTCACATCAGTGAGGGATTTCCACAGTTGCTTTAAATTACATCACACTCGTTCAGTGTTACAAAAATAATAGAAATTCACCTCAACACAAGTACTAGACAAATATGTGCAATGGGATGTTGAATACTGAGGCTGAAACCCACAGATTTGGATGTGTGAATGTCCTCATTGCCCTAAATGGGAGCAATGCCTATTTTAAAAGGGAATTCTGCAATGTACAGTAACAACAGACAATACTAAGGGAACTTCTTAAAAATGATGTTATAGAATAGAAAAGAACGTGGGATGAAATCAACTTGAACCTGAAAGCATGTAACAGAGGCCTCAGTCTAGATCCCTTTCATGTAATGCTCATGTTTAACATTGTTTTAAGGTTTGGTAAAACACTAGAGAGAACATATTTTATTATTGGAAACTTATAGAGAACTTAGACAAGGAATTAACAAAGTTCAAAGGAAGAAGGGAAATAAATGATAGGACAAATGTAATGATTGATATTCATGAAACTGTATATGAGGATTATTTAAGTTTGCATTGTTTATGAGACTTACTTAAATTTGTGAACTGTATTATGGATATTTGTTAATTTTGTCTATAATGTGAATGTACATCAACATTGCTATGAATGTCTTTTTTTACCTGCCTCTGTTCCTTACAAGGAATGGCTAGATTGGGGGGGGGGGGGGGGGGGCTTTTGAATTTAGAAATATGTCAGAACTATATTAAAATTTTGTATAATACAGAAAATTGATACATTTTCTCCCTGCCTAATCTAGAAGTCATGCCTATCTCTAATAATACTGATTAGCAATAACAGGTGAATAGTAATAACTGCCCAACTCGATTGTAGCTTTTTCGCACTGCCCAACTGTGTTGAGCCACATTAGAGTAGTAGTAGTTTGTGTACAACATTCATGATTAATTGAATGGCATGATACATGACAAAAGTCCTCACACATACAGTATGTTGATGCCATCCATAAATTTTGTTTAACGGTTCTATAATTTGGAGACTTGGCTATAGATGAATTAACCAACTTACATCAATAGATCCTGGTGGCTTAATTGTGGGGAGGGACAGACTGGCAATGGGGTTCCACACCAATTGTCCTGATGCTGTGCTGGTTCACCACCTAAGTGCAATAAAGTCCTTAGAAATTCAATATGGATTCTAGGTATTTCAGCTCTGAAAATTCATCCATTTATTCTTTCATAGAATCAAATCATAGAATCATAGAATCAAAGAGTTGGAAGAGACCTCATGGGCCATCTAGTCCAACCCCCTGCCAAGAAGCAGGAATATTGCATTCAAATCACCCCTGACAGATGGCCATCCAGCCTCTGTTTAAAAGCTTCCAAAGAAGGAGCCTCCACCACACGGGGCAGAGAGTTCCACTGCTGAATGGGTCTCACAGTCAGGAAGTTCTTCCTCATGTTCAGATGGAATCTCCTCTCTTGTAGTTTGAAGCCATTGTTCCGCGTCCTAGTCTCCAAGGAAGCAGAAAACAAGCTTGCTCCCTCCTCCCTGTGGCTTCCTCTCACATATTTATACATGGCTATCATATCTCCTCTCAGCCTTCTCTTCTTCAAGGCTAAACATGCCCAGCTCCTTAAGCCGCTCCTCATAGGGCTTGTTCTCCAGACCCTTGATCATTTTAGTCGCCCTCCTCTGGACACATTCCAGCTTGTCAATATCTCTCTTGAATTGTGGTGCCCAGAATTGGACACAATATTCCAGATGTGGTCTAACCAAAGCAGAATAGAGGGGTAGCATTGCTTCCTTAGATCTAGACACTATGCTCCTATTGATGCAGGCCAAAATCCCATTGGCTTTTTTTGCCGCCACATCACATTGTTGGCTCATGTTTAACTTGTTGTCCACGAGGACTCCAAGATCTTTTTCACACGTACTGCTCTCGAGCCAGGCCTCATCGTCCCCCATTCTGTATCTTTGCATTTCGTTTTTCCTGCCAAAGTGGAGTATCTTGCATTTGTCACTGTTGAACTTCATTTTGTTAATTTTGGCCATCTCTCTAATCTGTCAAGATCGTTTTGAATTCTGCTCCTGTCCTCTGGACTATTGGTATCCCTCCCAATTTGGTGTCGTCTGCAAACTTGATGATCATGCCTTCTAGCCCTTCATCTAAGTCATTAATAAAGATGTTGAACAGGACCGGGCCCAGGACGAAACCCTGCGGCACTCCGCTCGTCACTTCTTTCCAGGATGAAGAGGAAGCATTAGTGAGCACTCTCTGTGTTCGTCCACTTAACCAATTACAGATCCACCTCACCGTAGTTTTGCCTAGCCCACATTGGACTAGTTTCCTTGCCAGAAGGTCATGGGGGACCTTGTCGAAGGCCTTACTGAAATCCAGGTACGCTACATCCACGGCATTCCCCGCATCTACCCAGCTTGTAGCTCTTTCGAAGAAAGAGATCAGATTAGTCTGGCATGACTTGTTTTTGATAAATCCATGTTGACTATTAGCGATGACTGCATTTGTTTCTAAGTGTTTGCAGACCGCTTGCTTAACAATCTTTTCCAGAATCTTGCCCGGTATCGACGTGAGGCTGACCGGACGGTAGTTGTTTGGGTCATACAACTTTCAGTTTCTTGATGTTATAAGAGACAGGAAAGAAAAGAGGAATGTCTATTATTTCTTGAACATAGCTTTAGTGAGACTCAGAAAGACATCCTCCACTTTCTCAATGCATCCGTTGGGGGACAGAGCCCATTTTGCTTCAGGCTCTTTTACAAAATGAGCCCACAAAATGCTGATGGATCAACGTGATTCATTAATTAACCTTGCAGCCAACTTTTTACAAAAGCAAAACATCTGTGTTAGTTAAGCAACATCTTATACTGACTAGGTATTCGTGCTTGGTTTAGCTGTATGGTTTTAGAGAAGGAATCCAACCAAGATGGCAATAATATCCAAGGCTAGTTCGCTGCTGGCCTGGCAAGACATCTCATCACTGAGATCCACCAATGTCTGAAAGGGGAGAGACAGAATATTTTTGGCACTTATTTGCTCAGTTTTTAATATGTCCTACCAAGGAGGGTCAACCTAGGCAACGAAAAGATTTAAACAGGATAAATACTGGATTGATATTGCTAAATATATATATATATACAATTAAAATAACCCACACTTATCCCCAACCACTAAATGGCTACCTAAATTCAAATGCCTTGCATCATTCCTGGAAGACATCCATTCCTTGCCTATTCCAGTTCTATCCAAAATTTGGAAAAAGTGATTTGTTTGTATTATGTCTTCCAGAAAGTAGGGATTCTGAAAGGCATAGTCCTAAAAGTAAATTTTCCAAGCTCTTTGACATGGATGCAGAAGCATCTTTTTTTCAGGGGCTACATTCCTCTGCAGGCTGTCTTTCCAGGGAGAGGGTATGCTGGCAGTGCTTTTATTTCTGTTCCTCTTTGCTACTTTCTTTTCTCCCTCTTGCCTGTCTGCCCAGTGGATGATCATGATAGTGTCTGTTGAACTGAGCAGTCTGATCTATCACAGAGGGTTAAGCTAAAGGACATGTGATCCTTGGGCAGGGTGGATCCTTCAAATAATGTTGAACTGGAACTCCCTTTAATCTTAGATAACACAACCAATGGGGATGGATGCCCTGCCCTAGAGCTATAGGTGGCTCACCTCTTATCTATGGGGAAAGGGAGGACCAAACGTAACATGAGTTTTATCACATCATTCACTATTGTGATTGCCTTTTAACCAATAGCTAACCCAAGGAGACCCATGACACATCAGGACTACTGGCTATGGAATAACAGTCATCAATCTTTTCTCTCTCCTGATTTGAATCAAGAATTTAATGCCTGCTATATGTATTGTGGGAAATTCTCCCCAAGACAAATATCAGTTACACACTTAAATCCCACTCTCAATCCATTTTGCTGAAAACCAAGGAGGAATGGGGCACTACTGCTGGGATTATTGCTGAAGGCAGGAAGTAATGTCTGAATACAATGGTGAAATTTTATAATGAGTTAGCCCTTGCTGGCATTCAGGGTGGTGGCAGTTGGGCTTTGCTTTAAGCAGCAACATATCTTAAGCAACACAGATGAGAAACACGGAATTCCCATTGACCTGATTTTGAGGGAAGTCAGTAGGACACGATAGCTTAGGATAAGCTACTTGTGCATTACAGAAAGGAGAGGGCAACAACAGACACAGCCTTGCTTAATATTTGCATATGTTTCTTTGTATTTATAGGTAGAAATAATTACTGTCATTTAAGAAGAAGCACAATATATGTCACCATATTTGAAAAGACTGATCTATGTGACTGATGAGCAGTCTGCTGTCCAAGTGATGAATGCTGCTGCTTCTTTTATTTTTTGGGATCTCCATTTATATTCTACATTAGCTTTGTTACAAATGTGTAAATAAATAATGTCACTCCATCCCTAGCCTACCTTAACAACCAGCAGCCGTGTAGAGTGAAGAGGGTCTGTTCAATTGGTGACTGGCATGCAAAGATGTAGAGTTAGTGAATATGGAATGATATCAGATCCATAACTAGTTTTCAGATCTAAAATGCAATACTGGATATCAATCTCCATATTTTTACTGGACTTGAGTTCAATAGTCTTTCAAGTAAAAGTCACCTTGAAAGATAGGACTGTAGGCAGGGAACATGGCCTACCAACAGATCTGGATTACCAATGGTTCTGCTGGTACAAATTGTGAATTGTATGATTGGATGAAAATTAGTTCACATATGAAAAGTTTTGTGCTGCTGTTGCATTTTGTATTTTATTGATTGTTGATTCATTCACTTATTTAATTTCTATAGCACTATACCTATAATACAGTGTCTCTCAACCTGGGGGTCAGGACACCTGGAGGGTCATGAGAGGCTGTCAAAGGTATCGCCAGAAATAATCAGAAAACACAATATTTTTTGTTGGTCATGTGGGTTATGTGTGGAAAGTTTGGCTCAATTCTATCATTGGTGGGATTCAGAATGCTCTTTGATTGTAGGTGAACTATAAATCCCAGCAACTACAACTCCCAAATGTCAAGGTCTATTGCCCACAAACTCCACCAGTGTTCACATTTGGGCATATTGAGTATTCATGCCAAGTTTGGGTCAGATCCATTATTGTTTGAGTCCACAGTGCTGTCTGGATGGAGGTGAACTACAATTCCAAAATCAACCCCCCTCCCAACCTTACCAGTATTCAAATTTGGGTGTATTAGGTATTCGTGCCAAATTTGGTCCAGTGAATGAAAATACATCCTGCTTATCAGATATTTACATTATGATTCATAACATTAGCAAAATTACAGTTGTGAAGTAGCAACAAAAATAATTTTATGGTTGGGGCTCATCACAACATGAGGAACTGTATTAAGGGGTCGTGGCATTAGGAAGGTTGAGAACCACTGCTATAATAGCTCATACCTGCACTATTTTTAGAACTGCTCCA